GTCTTTGACACCGGTACAATGCTGCTTTCTCCATCGGTGCCGTGTCCTCAACGCCAGCGCCTGAACGATCGCAGACGTCTCCATGCATCTCCGTTATTGATGACCGACGTAGCAGCGAGTGACTTGAGGAACACTCATCCGCGAGCGGTCTTTGACACCGGGACAATGCTTCCTGATTCAATGACAGGTCTTCCTCTGCCGTCGCGGGATCGCAATGCCGCCAAAGGTGTCCCTCGACAGGCGCTTCGCCATCCTGGCGCTCAATTAACAGCGACAATATTACAGCTATCTCTCCAACTCCCTTGTCGACGCCATGACCGGAGTCCCATTCCAAGCCATCCACGTGGACATCAGGGCAGCTTGATTGGTTCCTCTCACCAAATGGCGCCGCCACTAACCCAGCGCATTTTGCAGCAACCATGGATAACTCCGACACAGAGGATGTGGGAAGATCAAATACTAGCCGAGGAGAGGCTTCTTCTTCTTCTTCTTCTTCTTCTTGAGCGTCGAGCAAACGACAAACGCTCGTTGACCCCTCCCTTTCCGACCTTCCGCACATCTCACCACCACCTCTGACGGCATCATACCCCAACGCAGTTTTCTTCCCGCCACCCAGAGGTAACGAGATCAAACCTTCCGCCCGGCGGGCTCGATCAGCGCGTGCCCGAGGACGAACCGGATGAGCCTTTCCCTCCACCGCGCTCACACAGCTTCGCCGGCGGCGCGAACAAGCGCATGCTTCGTATCCAGCGTCCTTTAAGAACGGGTGCTCAAGGAGCTCCGAAGCAGACCACCTGCCGGACGGCTCTCGGACCAAGCATTTCGACAGAAAGTCTTTGGCCTCCAATGACACATGCGGGGGGAAAGCAGGGACGTCGTTGGTGCACGCGATGCGGAACAGCGTTGACATGGTATCCCCCACGTCCGACCAGGGTGCTCTGCTGGTAGCCATCTCGATCACCGTGCACCCTAACGACCAGATATCACAAGCCGCTGACAGCGTGCCGCTCTGGCTGGCTACCTCGGGAGCCATCCACTGAACGGTGCCCGCAAGGTCTACAGATCGTCCTGGACAATCGCCGCCTTCCTCCTGCGGTTCAGTTGCCTTCGCAGCGGAGGAATCTTGCGATGGGCCGTCGACGTCATCACCAGGGTCCCCGCAGACGCAACATGAAGCCCCGAAGTCAGACAGCTTCGCGGTTACCCCACCCTCCTCGTCGACCATCAGCAAGACGTTCTGCCCTTTGACGTCCCGATGCACAACTCCTCGGGAGTGCGCGTGCTGCAATCCGCGCAATATCCCTCGGCAACATCGCCGGATCATGGACTCGTCCAGCTTTCTGCCGAAACGCTTCGAGAAGTCAGCCACGCTTCCCCCGTTCGCCAGCTCTAGGAACAGGTTACGCTCCGTTGACCCGTCCTGACCATGTGTCCAGTCGTCCCCAAGGTAGCGCACCACGTGAGGAGACGAACCCAGCCGCTTTAGAATGGAGATCTCGTTCTCCAATGCACGAAGCTCGGCCATCGACGCACACGCCGAGGAACTTCCTGGCCCGCAAACAGCCTCCGGCAGAATGGCTACGGTCTTCACGGCAAACACCGCGCACGACCGTCTGTCAAGCGCGTGATCCACCCGCCCAAATGACCCTTGGCCAAGGGCGCTGCCTCGGACCCAGCACGATGATCCCCTCTCTTCGCTCCTACCCCACACCGTCCGGCTGTCACGCTCGGCGGGGCAGGCATGCGCCTCCACCCTAACGCTTGTTCCACAGGAATCGGTGGCCATGTTGGCGCTGCACGCCTCACCGCAGTTCTACAACTCCGCACTAGACACACAGACAGACAGAGAGAGAGAGAGAGAGAGAGAGAGAGAGAGAGAGAGAGAGAGAGAGAGAGAGAGAGAGAGAGAGAGAGAGAGCGAGAGAGACGTTGGTCTGTCTTTAAATACAGCTGGTTCTGGCTGCGCGAAGTACGGAGGCTGATTGAGTCAGGAACGGCGGAGAGCTCCACTGCTACGTTGCATTATCTTAAACCTTGCACGGCGGGGAAGGGAGAGGATATTCTCGATATTCTCGACCAGCTGATGAGGATAGTTCTCGCGAGGTTCCAATGGAAAGGGCAAGGATGACGACATGATTGACGCCTGAACTGTGAGACTCTTATGATCTATGGAGGTCGTGGAGGACTATAACCTTCGCTTCGCATCCTTGAAGGCTTCTACACGACAGCTGCCCTCTGCAGTGCGGCGAGGTAACGCTCCGCTGAAGAGAAGTACAAGCGGGCACGTAGTGCGGCAGAAGGACAGAACAATGCCGACGTTCCGCAAGCAGGCATCGCCACAAAGAACAAGGAGAGGAGGGGAGACGTGAGTGTCTCGATGAAAAGAGAGTTGAGCTAATATTATCGTGCTCTAATGACAAAGACATGGAAGCAGTATCAGTCCTATCAGCACGCGCGGATGTACTTGTTCTTCGCGGATCATGGACTACTGCACCTACCCAAGGCTGACGAGTTTTGCTAAGGTCGAAGCTCTGCGGCTTCTGCTTTCCTGCCACGCGCCATCGTTGACTGGCGCGAAGGGCAGGTGCGCATATGAGACTAGATACATGGCTTTGCCACAGCTGAAACCTACAAACATCCCAAGCGTGAGACTGAGACGGCGCCACATCGCCCAAGGCCAAGGCACCTCGTCCATGGCCCCGCCATGCACTCCACGACATCGCCATCTCCGCTGCGGCATCAAATCGTACCAGCGGGGATACGAAGATGAACTCCTAAACACTGTGCGGATGGGAAAGAACGACTTCCGCTCGTATGGTTTGTCGCCTCTAACGATATCAGATTTTTGTGTCCGTGGCATCGCCGTGTCCTCCGTGGCTTCGAATCTTACTGCCGAGGATACGAAGACGGACACCTAAACACAGTGCAGATGGGAAGGCGAGTTCTGTGTGTATCACCTGTCGCGTCTAGTGATAACGGATCATCACGTCTATCGTGCAGCATCGCCCATTCCCGATTTGCAATCGACTCCA